GAGAGGCTGCTTCTCCTGCTCTTCCCCCCTTCCTCGTCCCGCTCCTCGTCCCGCTCGAAACCGACGCGCCCCGGGCCTCTACACAACCTCGCGAGCACCACCCCCGTCCTAGGCCCCCGCAATTTTTCCCCGCGAACCGACACCCCGCCTACCACCACCACCGTCGTCGCAAATACGGCCCTCGGGCCCGCCAACTTCCCCCACCAACTGGCACCCTCGCAAACCGACGCGCCCTCCGAACCGTCGCGCGGCGCGGTGTGATTTCTCATCGCCGTCCTACGGGCACGTCGTGCGGCGCGGTGCAATTTCTTGTCGCCGTCCCACGACCCCGCAGTGCCGCGCGCGGGCCTCCCTGCCCGACTTTCCCTGGGCCCGGCGGCAGCGTCACGCAAGGACCGGTTTGGGCTGGACCCCGCCTCAAAATTTGCGGTCCCACTGCCCGATTCCGGCCTCCTCCCAGTGCCGCCCGCCTCCCGAGAAATTCGCTGGGCCCGCGACAGGGCATGTTGCCGGGCCCTCTCCATCCTTTAGTATGTATAGCATCCTTTAGTATGTATAGAGATAGAGATGTGACAAGACCCTGACTCTACTACACCCCTCTCATGGGAGGGTGATCCCTTGGCAGCGGGCTGGGTCAAATGGACAAAAACCTGGAGGAGAAACCAAAGAGCAGTCAAAAAACATTTTGTGTAGTTGGCGGTGATCTTCCACTAGCAAGGGGATATGACTTCAGTGTACCTGTGTGGCAGCCCTGTGATGACGAAAACCAAAAACACCGTTCAGAGGAGATTAGCATGGCCCCTGTGCAAGGATCACATGGCAGACAAGGCCCCTGGAATGCCGGCCCTCTTTTGGCCTCCGGGGTAGACGTCACTCATCCTTTTTTTTTTTTTTTTTTTTTGAAGTCCACGGTGTTGCAGAGGCCAGTCTTGTTGACAACCTGTCTCTTATACACATCTAGATGTGTATAAGAGACAGCTTCTGTACAAGAAGGGCGGCCCCAAGGACATCAGCGTTGTGTTACAAGCGCATTGATTGCATCAGCGCACAGTGCGACGACTATGCTTAGTATG